AATTGTGTTCCCCTAAAATATGTGTCAATGTGTGTCAACTTGGCTAGGTTATGATTCTCAGTAGTATGTAATTATCCTCCATTTTGTGATCTGATGTAATTATCCTGTGGGTTGTAAATCCTAACCTGTATGATGTTAATGAGGCAAGATTAGAAGCAGTTATGTTAATGAGGCAGGATACAAATTACAAGATTAGGGTGTATTTTGAGTTAATCTCTTTTGAGTTATAAAAGAGATTAAACAAGAAAGCAGAGATCAGAGGGACTTCCTACTACCAAGAAAGAAAAGCAAGGAGTAGAGGTCATCCTTTGGACCCAGGGTCCCTGCACTGAGAAATTACTTGACCCAGGGGAAGACTGATGACAAGACCTTCCTCCAGAGCCAACAGAGAGAGAAAACTTTCCCCTGGAGCTGGTGCCCTGAATTCAGACGTCTGGCCTTCTAAACTATGAGAAAATACATTTCTGCTTGTCAAAGCCATTTGCTGTAGTATTTCTGTTATAGCAGCACTACATAACTAAGACGGAGTGGGTTAGTGGTAGAATTTTCACCGTCCATGAAGAAGCTCCTGACTGCTAACCAGAGGGCTGGTAGTTCAAATCCACCAGCCACTCTTCAGAAGAAAGACTAGGCAATCTACTTCCATAAAGATACCGCATTGGGAGAGGTCACTATGAATCAGATCGGACTTAACGGCAGTGAGTTTTTTGTATGTGGAAAACAGGTTCAATGCCTGGCCAATGCATCTCATGTGCAGCTACTATCCATCTGTCAGTAAAGGCTTGCAGGCTGCTATGATGCTGAACAGGCTTCCATAGAACTTCCAGACTAAGATAGACTAGGAAGAAAGGCCTAGTGATCTCCTTCTAGAGATCAGCCCATGAAAATCCTATGGATCACAAATGATCCACAATTAATCATGAGAATGACACAGGACTGGGCAGCATTTTGTTGTGTTGCACAGGGATTCACCATGAGTTGGATCCAACTTGACAGCAGCTAATAACAAATACTAATTCTTCCTCATGTTTGATGAGGGAAACTGCTAACCCTGTTGATGGACTTGCATCAGTAGAATGTCCTATCCTACCCCTGCCACCAGTGTGCCTCTCGAGATTTAAATTACTCTGCCACTCATGGCATTGCTATGCATCAGAATCAACTTGACAGCATTAAAAAAACATTTCTTTATAAAAAGACCCTCCAACTGTGCATGGAAGCAGGCCTAGGCCAGCAGGAGAAGAGGCCTGTTCCTAAAACAAGTCAGTCTTTAGGCTGCGGGACAAACCTTGGTCAGTAGTGGAGTTGAAACCATGATGTATTTATACACTTCTTCCTATTCTATGGGAGCTCTGGTGGCATAGTGCCTAAGGCATTTGACTGCTAACCAGAAGGCTGGGTGTTTGAACCCACCAGCCACTCCTTGGAAGGAAGGTTGGGCAATCTGCTTCTATAGAGATAACGCCTCAGAAACCCAAGGAGGGCTCACTCTGAGTCAGATCTGACTCGACGGCAGTGCGTGTGTTCTATTCTACTGATTTTATTCAAGGTTGGAATTCCTTCATCTTTTATCCTAACATGGCAAGAGTTTTTATTTTAGGCATTTGGAATGAAATTTCATTTAAATATGTTAAAGTAATTGCTCAAAAATGTGCAGATTCTCTTTTTGAAGTATTTTGACCATAGCTACCCTTTGCCCATCTCCTGTTGCTGCTTCCCTTTTAACCAGTTGCCACTGAGTCGATTCTGATTCATGGCAACTCCATGTGGGTCAGAATAGAAATGTACTCCCTGGGGTTTTCAATGGCTGATCTTTCAGAAATAGATGGCCAGCTCTTTCTTTCGAGACACCTTTGGTTGGGTTCAAACCTCTAACCTTTCTGTTAGCAGCCAAGTGTATCATCATTTGCACCACTTAGGAATTCCTGCCCTGCCCCAGGCTTGTGGTTTTCAACCCCAGGTGGTCTTTAGAAAGACCTAGTAAAATGCTAAGGTCCAGGCCTCTCCCCAGACCAGAAATTGGATTCTCCAGTGGTGGAACCTGAGCATCTGCAGATTAAGAGAGACGCTGGAGAATGCTGGGGGTTTCACAGCTAAGAACATGGCTTTACTGCCCACCTCCATGCCTGATTCTTTGACAGAGTGCGTCCCAGCTCTAAGGACTAAATAGGAAGTCACAGCAGAGGTTTCTCAATCCCGTCTTAAGTCAGATACATGATACTGGACTTCAGTGTCCTTCTCTCTTCATCCTCTCATCCAGCTCCTGCTCACACCTTGGACCCTGGTCCCAAACCCTGACTGAATTTTGGAGCACAGGTACATAGGCCCTGTGGAGACTGACCTTTCCCGGAGAGCACCACTTACTGCCAGGTGTCCTAAGTCCCTAGGCCTCCACTTGACCCCAGGGGATGGATTGATTTGCTCCCCTCCCCTGGCGTTCATCTCCCTGGAGAGACTGGGGTAGTGAATTGTATTAGAGAGACCCAGGTTAATCTTACAGATCCCCTTACACTTCCCTTCCTCTCTGTTCCTCTGAATGTGAGCACTCCAACATTCATATGCCCTGTGGAGACTCCCAAGGTTAAAGAAAAACCTCCAGCCAAGTGTCTGAAGACCAGAAACACCTCTTGGGGCCCCTAAACCTGAGGTAACATGGCTAGGCCCAGAGCCTTTATAGCTGGGGTTCCTGTCTTGGGAATCCCCTTGTCCTCTGTCACTGCGTACAGTGGCATCTTCTTCCCTAGACAGCATTTGATATGTGATGTAACTAACTACAGGGCATCTGCAGCTGCTTCACCTGCTAAACTTGAAAGTCAAGTCCTGGTAGTGGTTGTTGCCCCAGCCACTGTAATACACCCTAACTGGTGACTTTCTATTTCACAGAGAGTTGAATTGCTCAAGGAACTGGTATTTTGTATCTAACAGATCACCACATAAGGCGAGTTGATTCTGACAATGACCCCATGTGTGTCAGGGTAGAACTGAGCTCCGTAGGGCTTTTAATGGCTGATCTTTCAGAAGTAGATCATCAGCATTTTCTCTGAGGCACCTCTGGGTGGATTCGAACCTCCAACTGTTTGCACCACCCAAGGACTCTTACTGACAAGAGTAAAATCATTTACACATTGATACTTACCTTCCTTTTCCATTCTCTTCCCAGAAACCCTTACAACCCTTGATTATAACCAAAGAGAAAATGTCCAAATTAAATTTTGCCCATTCTTGGGAACTCTTCACTTCCTTCTACTGCCTAATCTGGGTAGAATATATAGGATGAGGAAGCTCAGCCTCAAAGTCAGGTCCAATAAAGTATACTCTTAAAGTAATCAGAACTCTGGTGGCCTAGTGCCTAAGGCATTTGACTGCTAACCAGAAGGTTGGCAGTTCAAACCCACCAGCCACTCCGTGGGAGGAAGACTGGGCAATCTGCTTTCTTAAAGACTCACCACCTTGGAAACCCAGTGGAGGTCACTATGAGTAGAAATTGACTCGGTGGCAGTGAGCCTGAGCTTAATCGGTGCATGCTTTTTCTGCATGTGTTGATTACAGAGATTCACAGACAGGTCTGGGTTAGGTCTCTCTCACTGCCTCAGATGCCATAGCTGTGGCAAATTTGCTAGGAGAGCAAATTCCTGTTCTTTATCCTTTCCATTGAAGGAAGAAAGCTTGGATGATTATATGTGTGTCATAGCTATTAAAAAATTTGTTGGATATATCTATCATAAGGAAGAATAAGTTACTAATTATAAATTGCTCATTCCCATGATTAAACATATCTTCTTCCAAAGTCATTAATACTTTTGTGCAAGTGGTAATGAATTTCACAGGCCAGCTTGGACTATTTATTTACTCCCTCACGGTGGCTGGGCCTGGGTTAACATGGTATTAAATCAGGATGTTAAATCAACTTGCAAAAGAGTAAGCAGGTTAGGGGGCCATTGGAGTCCAAGGGTTAAACGCTGGGCTGCTAACTCAGAGACCACTCAGAGAGCAACTCAGAAGAAAGGCCTGGCAATCTACTTTTGAAAAATGAGCCACTGAAAACCCTGTGGAGCACAGCTCTACTCTGTGTGCTTGCCATGAATCAGAAATGACTTGACAACAGTTGGCTTGGTTTGTTCCCCTGCTGCTGTATTAGTTTGTATTTGATCTTTAAGAAACTGTTGGCTGTTGGAATTATTGCTGGTGCCTCTTTCATCTTCTGTTTCATAGTCCACGGTCTCACATCACATACAGATAGGTTGAACCCTAGCAAGTTGAGGTTTTGTAGGTCAAAATGATCACATCAGGGCAATTTTCTATGACTCAGCCTAACATGTATATAACAGGGTCTGGAGTTATAAAAACCTGACTCAAAAAACCAAGTATTATTTAACTCTCCTCTGGTAGCATAGTGCCAAGCCCAAGTTACCTCAGGTTTAGGGGCAAAGTCTGGTTAGCAGAAGGCTGGGGGTTTAAAGCCACCAGCCACTCTTCGGAATGAAGGTTGGGCAATCTACTTCCATAGTGATACTGCCTTGGAAACATAAAAAGGGGTCGTTATGAGTCAGGTCAGACTCAACGGCACAAACAACAACAAGAAGAAAGTGAAGACCATTGTTCTCAGGGCACTTAATTTGGTTTTACTAACACGACCAGTTTTGTCATTTACCCTCTTCCTAACGAAGGGAATTGGGTGGTGTAGAGGGGACCCAGGTGGCCCGACCAGCCTGGTTTGACTAGAAGTTGGTCGTACCAGTGCCTGCCCTGGGAATGGATAGCAATGTAGTCATTTAGTCAAGTCTTGCCACTTTTCCTTTTATAATCTTCTCACTTCAAAGAACTCTACTTCTTCGTACTAGCTCCATCCCTGTTGTTTTGCTTGGGTAGAAAGCAATAGCATACTCATGAGAAACTGGAAGAGACCAGTCTTTTGAGCTTCCTTTTTACAGTTGGACTAGTCATTCTAGTGTTGCATCCACTGCCCGCCTGACCGGCCCTCTGTACCTTTACTCTTCCAGGCGGAATTTTAAGGAAGGGCGCAAAGCTGTTCTTCCGCCGGCGGCATCAACAGAAAGACCCAGGCATGAGCCAGTCCCACAATGACCTCATATTTCTACAGCAGCCGGAGGGGGCCAAGAGGAAGGGCATGACTCTCAGCAGGATCCTGAACAAGAAGCTGCTGTCCAAACACAGAAGCAAGAGCTCCATGAATGGTGCCCCTGTGGACCCCTGTGCGTAGGGCTCATGGTCAGCAGCCTCCTTCCCATGAGCCTGCATTAACAACCTCACCAGGACAAAGCATACATGTCAGTGAGCTGTCAGATGGCCGTGCTTTGTCTAGTTTGGTGTTTTCCAACAACTTGGTCTTTTAAAGGGGAAAAAAAATTATATATATATATGTATGTATATATATATATATATATATATATGTCTACAGAGCTCTGCCTTCTTTTAGAGAGAACTGACAAAGCCTCATTTGCCACCAGATGCCAATGAGACCCAAAAGCCCCATAGCTTGGGTTGCACACCAATCTAAGTGTTGAAGTTAAATATTAGAAGGAGATTTACGTTGTTATCTGCATGACA